CGCATAGGAATATCATAGTGCATGTGTTGGTTGAGAGAAAAAGGGTGACGTTTGACAAGAGGAGTTGGATGGATGACTTCAAGTTTCCCCAACCACCTCGTCCACCGCCGCCTCCTCCTCAGCAAAAAGGAATTGGCGCTAGGATATGGGGGTGGATAGTGGCGTTGTGGGGTTTCCCGCCGCTAGGGGAGCCCTGGGACAGGGTGCAAGCGGTCGAGAATCCAAGATTCTTGTAGTATATATTTGTGTACGAGCTAAAATGAAGGGAGAATGTGCGGCCGGTCTATACTATCCTTCAATAGGATATGAGGGTTCAAGAGTAGTACGCTGCTGGAGCCGTACAATGACTAACATATGAAAGGCTGGTAATAGAAATTGATATACGGAGAACATTCCACTTACGCCCAGTGATGAGTAACGTCTTACGCTCCACCAATACCCTATTAGTAAATGGATATAAGTCTAATAATCCGTCGCGCCAAGAGATGGTTTTTTTTAGCAGCGTTTACCTCCGCAGCTCAGATACTCGCTCGTATTTTCATCACAACATTCCCCTCCATGCCTCTAACAACGAATATTATCTACTGAAAAGTCGATGATCACTCGAAAAGAGAAGCCCCTGATGTTGGATATGACTATCAAAAAATAGGTAGTTCAGTCACTCGAACACGATAACGCCTCTCTACATGTGATGAAGTCCGACGCGCTCACACAATCTTTTCACTCGATCTTAAGAAAAATTGAATACCCGGGGCCAAAGCGCATCTGGATAAAGCCTATGGTGCCTATCAAGGTAGCTCTGTGAATACGGCATGGATCTCCGTTCGGATGGTGCTCATTTTAGGGGTTCACTAACTACCGGCTTTTACCAGAGATCTATAATGTAGTACGGTACGGATGGATGATCAAATAAAGCTATTGTGCCTTTGACTTTGTCATATCCCGTTCGGACACACCCTTATCATGACAGACCTCAAGATAAATCTGTGCCAAATCATATAAGTTTCATGTAGATGCTTCTGTAAGAGCTAGTAAATCATCTTATTGAACTGTACGTCTGAAGTGGATGCATCTCAAGAAGAGATGCAGATGCGCACGCAACACATAGAAGTTGTCTCAGAAAATGGAGTCGGTTTTGATCTAGGGGTGTAGGACTCCTCCAGATTTTCCTCACAGCCCATCCCAATTAGTGTCACATAGGCAATCCAGACGGGCCCTAGGTGTCTAATTCCCACAATTTCCATGATTGAGGGAATTTGGTTCACAATTGGCCTGGATCGAGCCCTCCACGAGAAAGATCAATTGGAACTGAAGGTGTTCACCCCAACCGTCGATTTCCATATGGATTTTATTGCAGGTTGTCTACACTGTGCTCCGTCTCTAACCCTCTATACCGAAAATCGGATTTGCAGATGATTTCTTTGGAACTATCAGCGATGGGGCTAATTGTACGGGCTATGAATCGTCTATTGAACCACGCAACTTCATTGGGCAGTTCTGTCGCAACACATTTAGAAACGTTTCGGAACTTGGTTAGAAGATGTGTCACCTCTTAGATTCGGGAGAAATTTCTGCTCCTTTTCGAGAGGGGTCCATGGACGCGGCATTACGTTTTCTTGGGTCTTATTCTCAGGAGTTCGACGCATGTAGGTTGAATGACGAGCAATCGGATTGTGAAATTCTGAACCACTCTGCTGCAATATTGTGGGGTTGCTGCTTCTTGTGAATACAGCGATCGTTCCGAAGTAGGTGAACTCGACTACCCCTTTCAACATCCAGCTTGTATCCGAGGCCAATGAAAGGAGTACTAGACCGTGTTCAGGAAACATGATAGGATGGCTCATATTCCAGCAGGAAGCTCTTTTATCATTCAGAAAATTCATCTTTCATTCTACCCTACGCAGAATTTGGTCTGATCTGATTTCCTTTGCGCAATAATTCAGAGAATTCGTGGTTGCTTTCATGGAGCGGCAACTTCGCTAGATGGAAGACGACATGGTGAACAATAGCTGTTGTCTGTCTCCTTCGCTCATCTAAAAAATGGAAATGAAGACATGGAAGGGATTGCTGTATCACTTTAAGACGTGAGATGTCTTTGCAAGATGTCTTTGTAAATAACACCAAAGGTTTAGTCCCATTGCAGGTAGTAGCAATCCTTGAGCCTCTAAGTTCATGTAGTAATCGTGAAATGCTGAACAACGGTACGCAAAAGAAACTCCAGGTCCAGTACCTGCAGCAGTGATTTTGGTGCGTCTACGCTCAAGCATTGATGGTAATGGATACCATAATAACACGCAGCGCGCAATATACACAGAAATTTGACCAGAGGATGGTCACACTTCTACATCTACACCCGAAGATAGGAGAACTCTAGCTCTGGATGTTCAATGCGCTGTTTTTTCTCGGGGCTAGTAACAACCCCTATTCAACGTTCCGATTCTGGTGAGATCTAGCAACAGCAACTAATTTAATGTTTGATTTGAAAAGAACATGTCTGTCGTCGAGCTTGTTATCGAAAAACTCCGGACGTTAGATGACAGGGAACAGCCAAAGGGTGCGAAAGTGTAGGAGATTTACTGTTTGGTGGTACCATCATTAGACTAGACTATGGTGGATACTGTCGAGAATACGGGCTCTTGATGTTGGCGCGTGTCCTTGATTACCTTGGTGATAGATACCATGTAACATTCAGTCTTGAGTAATGGATCCCACCGTGATGCCGCAGAATACGGCCTTTAACCTCTTATCCGCGCTCTGATATCTAGATAGGACCCTTGAAACGGAGACTGACTATGTATCAAGGCAAAGTTGCTGGTTGAGAACATGTTTTGCTATAATGAGAGCATTTTCTTGAGCGAAGTTCGAGCCGAATTACTGACATCGCCTGCATCCCCTCACAAAGAGCCGTGCGGAAGGACGAATTAGAACTGTATCCCATGCAAGAGTGTTCTATAGCAGTTCAATTGTATGCCTTGCTACGTGACGAATGAGTAATCAGAACACGGATAGCTCTTAGTTAAGCTGGAAATTGTATACAGACGAAGTACCCTTGATATACACTAATTACTGTGATTCTAGTTAAACCATTCGCCCTGCTGTAGACATTTAAGGGCTACTAGATGCCTAAACTGTACAATAGTTACTTTTGCCGTGGCGTTAAAGTAACCAAGGGCATCAGAACAGCATGGAGATGAGTCTCAGGTAGCCGCCGTAGCTGTCTAAACCACAAAGGAGCTCGTATTTACGCTAGAAGGCATGAACAGTCTGTATCTACGTGCCCGGGTCTCTGACGCTTCTACGATCCGACTCCGTCTTTCTAGGGGGTAAAATCATGTGTAGATTATAGGATAGGGCTTAGCTCGTCTTCCTGACCAATCTTCTATTATCCCATGGCTTCTAAAATGGCTCGAAGCTTTTGCGACTACGGTTACAACTCGCTTAGACCTGAGCAATGCTGCCTAATATGGAATAGCCAAGATTTAGAGCTGTGAAAAGGTTTACAAGTCTCGCACGCTTGACTTCTATTCTTTCTTTTCATCACATTTTCGATTTGACCCTCAATTCTTAAATCATATTCACAACCTTCTACAACACAATCTTCTTCCGAGCTCAGTATGGTTTCCCCCGCCCCCTCATCCTTGGTGATGTTAGCTTAATTGCAGCGCCCGCTATCTTCTTGGCCTACGGGTACGGTGTGCTGTAAGATTGTTCCCTCCTTCGCGTCGTGAAATAGAAAACTGACCTGTAAATCCAGAGTACGGTACAGACTTAAGATACAACCTTTCCATAACATAATACAACCACGGCTTTAACACATTTTCCAGTCGTCGCAATGGGGTAGCTGCCGGAGACGTAGAGGCTAATGCTGGTGAAATTCCCTTACAGGATCTCGAGCGCGTGCCTGAGCAGGCTCCTCAACTTCCCGAGCTTGCTCACATGCGATTCCCTTAGGGGATGGGACCGGCAGGTGATGATATTGACTCGCGTGAAACCGAAAACCTTTGAGGACGCTCCCTGACCTCCGGGTTCAGGTCCTTGCTCTGGTCTTTAGTGTCGAGATCTGATGCCGATCCCTAGTCGTTTACTTGTTGGCGCTCTGGGCATTAGATAGCTTATCCGTAATTGCAGTGAATCTCAAATTGGCCACTCTGATTCTTAATCCATCTGTGACCAGTGCAAAATTATAAACTGAAGTAGCATATCAGTACGAGATCCCTCGTTCCTCTTGAGCGTGAACGGAGCGAATCCTTTGCATATAACTGAAAGCCTTTGTGCGGTGTGCTATTCTGGGCATCTATCCGTTGGAGCCTACAGCAGTAGAATACACCCCAAAGTTGTTGACGCCTCGCGATTACCACAAACAGTACCTCATCCTACTGGATCAAAAGAGTAGTAGCTAAGGCGTACCGTTCATGTTTCGCCGTGTGGTATGGGTGATCATAGAAAGTTCGTCCGATACCAGCTTAATAGTGGTTGCTATTAAGCTATAGTAGGAGTTTTGTTTGCGAATTCTCTAATTGATGTTTTCACAGGCAAGAAAGTATTGTAGAATACTCACACAAAACTCAGATCTACAGTGTGTCTTGCGTATCCCGACCAAGCTATACCTATCGTTCATCTTTGCCCTTGACCATAGGGCAACACGAGCGCCATTGTAGATAGTAACCCTATGCTCATGAGAATCTACTATTTGACAGCTACATCAAAGCGTGTTTTGGAAGCAGACTCCAGCATCGATGGAAGACCGGGAGCACATAGGACGCCTTTCTGAGTTTGTTGTCCACTGTGACCCCATGTAGCAATCCGGAAACAGTGTGCTTCTCATCCGTTCCTTCTCGAATGAGATATAATACAGTTTGCATTCATCTCCCTCCCCAATCCCTCACCCAAAAAAAAAAGAGCTTTTTTCTCGCATCTTCACCACACACTCATAGCGTCGGGCAAATCAGCAAAAAAAAAAAAAGGACGCGGATCAGGGGATTGAATGGGAAAATACGGAGTGGCAACGCCAGAGACTCGAACCCTGCCTCAAACCATTGCTGTGGCCTGCAATGTAAAGCTCTAACCGCTAAGCTACGTCGTCTGGAGACTACCAGTTTCTGGCTGCTCTATATCGAAGGAGTCTACTATCCAGATGTGGTAACTGAAGGCTCGGATGTATGCTGATTGGAGGAGAGGAGAACACCAAACTTAGGTCTTCTCCGTAAACACCCAAAACCACTTGAATGTTGCATCGCAAACAATATTAGAGGCTCTCGCCTTTTATTTTCTCCCAAGCTCTTGCTAGATCATTTCAATGCTTTTCTCTCTTGATCCCAACTATTAACTCTCTGTAACCCTAGCTCTTACTGCATTTTAGCTCCTCCGTCATGCCATGAACATTCCGGGATCACGACATAACTCTCTTAGAATACTCATAAGAGCAGCAAACTTGCTGCTACTAAGAAATATTCTATTTGCTTTGTGGAAGTCCAGGTCCTTGGAATGGATATCGCTCTACTGTGGCACAACTCCAGTTGGTATCCGGGCTCCAGGTCTCATCCTTCATGAGCAACACGAGCACTCACGTCCGCTCCGGCTGGAGGGCTACAGTAAAACAATTATATTCCCTACATATTCTCAACATATTCTATCTACATGAGACTAAGAATGATTTGTATCTACCATCCTAAGTTACAGGATAATGACTGCGGTAAGTGATTCTATTTAGGGTCTCTATTCCATTGAATTTCCATGGCCACTAATCATGTTTTCAGTAAGTTGGAATATTCCCATACATCAATTTCTATCTGATATGCCCCTAACTTGAGTGGTAACCTTAGTAGAGAGCAGTTTCCCTAGCCGAACTTACCATTGTTCAACAGAACCTCTCGACTTCACAACCACAAAATCTTGCAGTCATGACCTGGTATGAACATCCAGATGAAGGTTACCGCTCAAGGATTGATAAGAAGACCTCCCTCTACCTGCATAATTGACGTCAGTGAGCAGAAGAGCCAAGCGTCACCAAGCACCAATCTCCGTCCTTGACAGGTAATGCATATTGAGCTCAGTTAAAGACCTAGCGGGTACGACTCGATGCCCTCGGAGGGTGCTATAACATATGGGTTTCTTGATGTGCACTTTGAACGAAAGCGGCAGTCTCCAGACATTGATTCGAGCGTTGAACCTCAGTCAATCATGACAACAACGCCGTAAGCACTTCCATCACTAAGTGAGACCGAGATCACCAGTTTGCATTCTCGAAATATGGGTATGCTCGTCTCGAAAAGATAGGACGGTGGCTAAGGTGCATACAAGAGCTAGTGAAAATGAAAGATAAAAGCATGAACCGGAAAGGACAGGAGGAGAACGCAATTTACCTAGAGTATAGGAAGAGGAAGGGCATTATAGGGGCACAAATGGGTACAAAAGAAGATTTTGAGGCGGGTATGAAAGGAGACGGGACCAGTTCACCGACACTATACCCTCACTGCTTTTTCCGATGGTAATAGAATCAGTTCCCGCTGCACTTCGAGTCCCAGAACCCTTAAGATACCCCGAATCAATTCTATACCCCTCAATGCAGGCGTCAATCAGAAGGATTTGTCAATACAGGATGTTACCAACTGGGAGTCAGACAACACACATGAAGACAGTCTATTCGACCAAGCCAAATGAGGATTTGGTGAAAAGCGAACCGCAAGGGGAATGGCTTACCTTCGTATGGTATAGCCCTGTTAGTAAGTGCAAAGGTGCAGCAGTGTCGATAATAGCTTTCCAGATCGCGTACCGTAAGCCGAAAGGCTCGAAGAACAGATAGAAGTTCCGGTTATAACGGATGACCCCTTATATGACCATGTTGGGCCTGCCTAGCCATACAATCCGTCTGACCGAGGCTAGTCCATCTTCCGTTAAGCATCGTCGTGCTGACCTTGCGTCGCTTCCATCGTTTCTTGGGTGTGACAATTTAACCATCGACTCTATCGTTCAGTCTTTAAGTGGTAGAGATTGAAATAATAATAGCATAGATCTTGCCCTCACGAGCGATCGTTGGAGCAATACCATTTTTCCGAGTATTCGCTGGTATCCGATGGGCCATTCCCGGTGGTGAAGGGTGGCTCGACTGACATAGAAGAGTGTTAGGAACCACCATGAAAGTTCTAAGTGGACTGAACTGTTATACCGGGTTTTGTACTGGTATGCCACAGTGATGTTTGCTGAAGACCGTTCCAAGTAAAGAGGCCTGCTAGTCGAATTCTGGCATACTGTATGTTTTTGTGTGGTGAAGACCGACGATGGATGTGCGTTCGGCAATACCAATAGTACGCCATAGTGACTCTGTCCAACCTAAGAGTCGACAGTAGTAGTTCTATTTGAGGGAATGGCGATCAGCGTTACAAGCAATGGCGATGAAGTGCTTCGCGGCTTCGGGATTTTGTCGAGTTTGGTGCGACTAAAAGTTCCAAAATCTGACCTTCGTCAAGACGAGCATGCACTAGGCAAATCATCCAGTTTCCCAGCCTGCAATCTTTGGGATTATATCTCAAGTACGAGTAGGAACACAAGGAAGAGCATGTAAGAAAAAAGCGAATGTTTCCTCTTTCGACTTGAACAATATGGTGGTCCATAGATAGAAGAACGAAAAGTTCCCAGCGGCCTCTCGCAGATACTGGTGCGATATCCGAATGCAATTACTCTCTAAAAGTTCCTACGTAAGTGAGTATGAACAGCTACAGAGCCCAATCGAATCTAGTTCTCAGGTGGAATTGTTAAGACGCTCTCTAGAGCTTCGAGTAGATGTGCAATTTGGGTTTGCACTATTCAAGCCACTAGCTAGCGAACAGTCCCCAGACCCCAGCCCCTTGGCTCCTTCGATTCTTCCAAAACCCTCTAGAGATATAGAGATATAGAGTAATAGACTTCTCGGCAAGCATCAACTATTCATTTTCGATGGAATTATAAACTAATATTTACAGGCCCAAGACGAAAATTATCATTAGTATAAACCCACAGCCCCTTTAGCCCTCCGCCAGATCTCCGCACCCATAGCTTTCCTAGTAGCGGAAACCCTCATGGCAGCATCCTTATTCTCAGCAGCCCTCCTCAACAGATAGTTCAAGCATTGGGTCATCGTACCCCATGGCACATCTTTGTATACCATTGGCGGATCCACCTTCATACTGCCGTCGTCGGCCTGCGACTTGGCCCCCTGCGCAAGTTCGCAACTCACCTCATCAGCCATACCCTTCAGCTGTGCGTATGCGAGCGTGACACGCGGCTCTCCACGTGTTAGCTGTTGATTGCGAATTGCTTGCGCCTTCCGGACCGTTACAAGGTTATGGGTTGCAAGAACTACATCGACTTCTGGGAAAGCTACTCCTTGGTGCGCAGGTGGTAAGACACGCGTATATTCTCGTTTAAGGCAAGCTTCTGCCAATGCATCATACATCTCATCAGTTTTCTCCTTCGATTCCCAGATGATATGCCGCGGTTCAGTTGCTAAATATGCCCCTCGAACGAGCTTCACACCCATAGTAAAATCTTCCTTCTTTGCGTATGCCAGATGCTTCGCGAGATTCCCAGGTGTGCTCTTCAAATACGCTTGATATGTGCTATACACGACAACTTTCCCGGGACCTCTAGTGTTGTATCGTTTTTGTAAATTCATTGTCCAGGAATAAATTCCAGTGTTTGTGGACTCTTCTTCTGCGCCTGGGAGAATCTTTACTCCCTTCAGTGTAGCCCGATCACAGATTTGGGTCATGGCAGCTTCCATCACTGGAGTGGGCGGCTTGTTCTGTTTCATGAGTTGCAGGGCATAACCCCCTAGTCCTGACCACCTTTCGATCGAGTTAGTTTGCTATCGCTATGGGAGCATGTTTACTTACTTGAGTGCTATGAAATCTCCCGGGTTACAGGCGTCGATTGTTTCTATCATTCCTGACCTAAAGGTTTCTATCTCCGTCGCTGTCTCCTTACTATCCGGAGCCGCAGCTTCGTCCTCTCCCCCGAGTCTCTCTAGAGCATACTCCAGTATGATCCCTTGGAATCCGTATGATTTTGTCTCCTTAGCTGATATGGCAACTTCTTTCTGGTTCTCACCAGCACAAAATTGGGCATAGAATGTGTTCCTTAACGTCCACCGCAGTATTGGATTCCGCTCTATATCCGTCCATATCGAACGGGACCTCAGAAGACGAACTAGAAATGCGAAGGTGGCATCAAGAACGCGAGGCGATCTGGACATGGATGCAATCATATAACTGCGGAGCACACTGGAGAGGGGTAATATGGACAATGGAGACTTTTTAGGTGTAGGCGCAGAGGGCTTTGAGAACATTTCTGGAATGCCCGACGAGCTTGTCGTTGCAGCGCTAACATTGTGAGCTCTGCTGCTGTGGACATGCCGCTTGCTCTGGCAAAGCAATTGGACGCTTAGTCCATTGAGATTATGTATACGTGAGAGCCGGTTTCTCATGGTTGTTAAACGATCGATTTAGGAAGTAGTGGGTATGAAGGAATATGCGGCGGAGCAAAAGGGAGGAGAAAAGGTAGATCAACAATAGGTGGGATATATATTCTCTTTATACAAATACTGTTATTTACATGAATCCCTTGTCCTCTTCTCTATTCATATAGCTCTGTCCGTACGTATTGTCCCCGAATTTGCCCTCGGGGTTGATACTTGGAGCTGCAGGACGGTTATTGACGGCCTCCACCGATCTGATATGCACAACGATAAGGTCACGCTCCTCCCGTGCTATGACGCAAAGAAGATCACTCTCTGCGAGTTCGGATAGCTTGGATTCTCGAATTAAGTATCCCAATTGATAGTTTGAAAGCCTTACTAGCATCCTGTTAGGCGCTATCCTGTTACTTGCGTACTGCATACGATCCTCCGCAAGTAACCGACCTGACAAAGGGGGTCTGGACCCAACATAAAACACTCACAATGAAAAGTGTTCTACGTAACCAAATCATTACTTATGTTCACTAAAAGCGTTGTGTGACTATCATTGATATCCTCAGTTACAGTCTTGTAACACAACGAAGCTGGCTGCTGCATAGATCCCTAAAGGATATCACCATGAAGTCATATTT